AACATCAAGGCATCGCTGCACACGATCAACATACACAAAACTCTGCTACATTCGCTGGCATGTTCGTTAGGCGAGTCTGGGGCGAGTTTCTTCGTTAGGCGAAGGGTTCTTCGCTAGGCGAGTCTGGGAACAACATGGTTTGCTAGGCGAGGCTTTCTTCGCTAGGCGAACAGTGCGATGACAGCAAAATCTGCTACGCACCAGAACCTGAAATCACTCAAAAGGCTATACGATTCACTTTCCCAATGCCCCCAAAACATCCTCAATTCATCCCTAAGGTCCTACGGTGATAAAGGCACAAAACCTACGGTTTATTAGGCCAATCCCGTAACATATTCATGTCCTAAATCACAAATTTTCCTTCAATTACACCCTAAGGCATTAGAGTTACTCACTATCCCATATTCTATCCATACATGGTCATACATATAACAATTCAAGGTTTTTGGCCACGAAGGCCTAAGGTCACTATTTCTCATATTCATGCTTTAACAGTCAAGAATATTTACCACTAACCACAACCATCAGGGTCCTCACCATCAATTTCCCTTTTCCCCACAATCGACCCAAAATCCCTTAAACCTAAAATCATCCATAATTACATTGAAAGGTACACATGAAAAATCATGAAAAGCTATACTCCACATACCTTAGTCGATTCAAAGCCTTCACGATTATCTCCGGGAATCTTCTGCCTCCAATCTTCTCCTCAGAGCTCTCTGGCCACAATACTTTTCACGGTTAACAAATGAATCCTAATTCCCTTCAGAATTCTATTTTGTCAAACCTAGTCTTGGGCGTCACAATTTGGGCTTTTCCCTTATTACCCTTATTAACTCCTCCAAATGCCCAAATTACCCTTATTTCACTTATATTCATTTTAAATAATAATAATACTAATAAATTAATATTATATAGTATTAATCAAATAAATAACCCAAAAATGCACACTTTTCCAATAATCCACAAACTACCGAAAATCACTGAAAAATGATATTCTTATTTAAACAATTAAATAAAATATGCCAATTAAATTTGGGGTGTTACAGAAATGACCAAGACTATAATACCATATCCATTCATCTATGTTGGATGCAGTTGCAAGACACTTATGCTCCATCATATTAAGTTCAATCTTGAAGGTTCTATTATGAGATATTGGTGCCTTCAAGATTAACCTACCACCTGAGTCGATGACTCTCATCTTCTTGTCTTTGATCTACACCTTATCGTTCTTTTCGACCATCTATCATATGTTGAGAAAATTACTCTTCATGTCTGGTATGTACAATACATTGAAAATTACTGACCTCTTGCCATTTTTCCTCATAATCAGAATATCACCAATATCTTCAGCTGCTAGAGTATTTCACCATGTTCTTCATTGAGGGGTTTATGTTGACAAACCAATCTTTTCTACCAGTCATGTGTGATGAGCATCCCGAGTCCAAGTATCATTGATCCTGAAATATTTCTTCATCTCTTGTTGTGACCATCAACAACATCTCTTCTTCTTTGTATTTCGCCAACTTTGCATCAGTTTCTTAATTCTTCTTCTTTTCTAGACAATCACTAAAATAATGACCATACTTCTGACAATTGTAACACTGAATGTGGATTTTGTCAGGTTTTCGACCACCACCTCTTCCTCTATCTGCAGCACCACCTCTTTGGTTGCCTCGGCTCTAGGGTTTTTCTTATTCAACCAGTTTTCTTCTTGCTGATTTCGATCAATCGAATTGTTGTAGCCTCCTTTGCCTTTGTTGCCATTCTAACTTCCTTTGCCTTTCTTTTCTTTAGCTGATTGCACTTGAAAAGCCATATTATTCTTCGACTTTTCTGCAACTCTTTCATCCATCTTTTGCTCATGACACTCAGACATCCCTTGAAGCTATTCCTTTGTCAATGTTGACAAATCTTTCGACTCTTCAATGGCTACTACCACGTGGTCGAACTTTGGAGCCAATGACCTCAAGATCTTTCCAATAATTGATCTTGATTTCAACATTTCTTCACATACCTTGGTTTGATTCACCAATTTAGTAACCCTTGTGAAGAAATCAGTTATGTTTTCACTTTCTTCCATCTGAATCAATTCATACGTCATTCTGTGAGTTTGTAATCTCACCTCTTTCACCTTTTCTGCACCTCCAAATGATTTCTTCAAAATTTCTCATGTTTCTTTTGTTGATTCTACATCACCAACCTTTTCAAAATTGTCTGGATCAACATATTGATGAATTATAAAGAGAGTTTTATAATCTTTCTTCTTCAATTCTTTGTATGCAGCATTTTCTTGATCTGATGTGTTTTCTGCAAGTGGTGTTACTCCTTCCTTCATAAGACCCTAAAGATATTGAATTGGGAGACTCGCTGGAAAATTCTCGTTCAGATGATTCATCGCCATCGTGATTTTCTTTCCACAAATCGCTCAGCCAGTGCTCTAGATACCAGATGTTGGAATTAACCCAAAAACTTTGAGAATTTCCCATGCTTCTTTCGCTGATTCTTCACTCTTCACTCAAGTGGAACAATCACACCTTGATTGCAAGAATGATTCTGCATAACAATTGTTACTGGAAGAAGAAAGAAAGACAATTGAATAAGAAAGAAGATTAGGGTTTGACAAAATAGGGGAAAAGGAGAATGATTTCTGCAGAGTAACTCTGCTCTAAAATTGAGAAAATATTATTCAACTGTGCAACTGCACTTTCTGTTGTGTGTTACAATATTATTCTCTATTCTTCTTACTCAAAATAGGGGTTAGTCCCTCTATTTATAATTGAGCTGCCTTACTCTCTAAGGTAAAACCCAAAAATCCAAATTTTCTATTTTGGTCTAAGTCTAAATCTTGTATCAAGCAACTTGCTTCGACATCTAATCCTACTCGACACACACTACACTAGGCTAATTTCGACACATCCTTGTTTCTGTCGAGTTACACTTGCTTCGACACAAAGAATTACATTCTCAACAGAAGATAAATCAAGGTGAACTTAAAGTGAGACATTGCTCGAGTGAACCACAGTTGACCGACAATTTCACCAAAAGATTGGAGATTGACAAATTCCTAACTTTGAGAAAAAAAATTAAGAATAGTTCAGATCGATTAGCTTGTGTTTCGCAACTTGGATTATAAGAGGGTATACTTTAATATAATCCAAATTAGTTAGTTACTTAGTTAGTTTACTATGATTAATTACTTGAGTTACAAAAAAAACCTACATGTATATTATAATTCAGTTTTAACTATTTAATACAAATTATCTTTCATTCATTTCCTTCCTTCTCTCTCGTTCCTCCCTCACCCAAATACATTAACACTAACATCTTGGACAACCAAACAAAAGTAAAACCTTTATTATATATTTGAATAAGTATTTAATTGAATTATTCTAATTGCACGATCGATTCATGCTTTATTCTTCATTAACAAACTTGGATCGTAAAAATCAAGATGATGATTATGAACTTTGATTCTAGTTTTATCTTTCAATTTTGTGACCAGTATCTCTTCCTCTAATACATGATAACCAGCTACCACAAGTGTAGTTTGAAGTTTTTTGAATAATATTTAAAATACTTTCTATCTTTCATGCACAAGAAATTTTGATTTGCCAAACCATAACAACCACTACTCATAACCAAATTATACAATTTTTCTGACATTTATATGTCCCTTATTAAACCTAATGCAACACTAATTTTGTTAATGACTTAAAGTGATGTGGTTATTTCGAGGTGTTCATGATTTGTATTTTTTACTATCCAAACCATATCCACATAATAACCAATATAATAAATTGTATTTAAAAACCATTTTTCAAAACCGATTAAAAAAAACATAATCCATTTCATAACTGATTTGTAAACAATTAATCAGTTTATTCAAAATTTATAGTACACTCAAAAGTGAAAGTAAATTGTAAAAATGATTTGATTAAACTTGTTCTGCTTGAAAGTTTGACGGCAAAATAAATCAAAAAATTTATTTATTTTAAAACTGACGCTAAAATAAAATGAGACAATAAAAAATTGGTTACGAATAACTTTTTTCTAAAAATCGGTTATAGAACCCAATTGAATTTTAAACATTGAAATGGAGGCAATAAAAACCACTTGTTATATTTTGCATATCCCTAATTTACGGGGATTTCGTTTATTTATTTTTATATCAATTATTTTAAAATACAGTTATTAAAATTAATGAATTAATAGAAATTAAAATTAAATTATTCCAGGGCCATACTGTTTAGTTTGCCCCTTTTGGTTTAACCTAGCAAATCAGCACGCAGCCGTCACTGTGATTCAAGCACGCAGCTGCAACATCTCCCATCGTATTGTAAATTCTTCACCATCCCTTGTTTTCTTAATGCATCTCAGTCCCGATTTAAAAATATGTGACTTCGTTCATTTTCTTTGATTTTTCATTCATTTTCTGTTAATGTTTCTGCATTTTTGTTTCATGGAAAGAGGCGAAGCACTAATTTGTGTTTTGAAATCAATTTTCTTAGGTTTTTAAGGGTGTTTTGACATCTTTGGTGTGTTTGGTTCTGGTTTAAGTTGTGCTGTTGCTGTGTTGTGTCTTATTGGTACAGCTGCTGTTTGGCCTTGGCAGTGCCGGGTTTGATTGGTTTTTCCAACTCAATTCCTCAATTTTGAAGGTTTATCATGGAGAGAGTGGGTGAAACTAATTTTGCATGTGGTTCCGTTAAGATAGCTTTGTTGGTAGCTGTATAGGGACATCAAGTGCAGCATCTTCTGTTGGATGAAAGTTTTTAATATATGTTGATGTTAAAAGAAATTTATCACTTAAATCTAGATTTATTTGTTTATGAAGTTTCTTCTCATATCTTATAAGATTTGTTTTTATTTCTCAATTTGATATGATTTATGAGTTTTCTCTTTTTTTTATGACCCTAGGCCAGTAGCAGCACACACAGTTGAGTAGAGCATTAGTTTGACAGAGTTTCATCTAAAAAGAAATTAGAATTGTGGCAATGACCAACAAAAAGCGAAAGAGACACAGCAAAAATGACGCGTCAAACAAGAACCAGAAATCACCAACTAACGAGGAGCGAAAGATTACATCACCTTCTACTACTAAGCGTACAAAGTCGAATGAATCTTCCAGCTTTCTCGAAAAGATGCGAGCGAGGTTATCTGGTGGTCACTTTAGGATGATTAACGAGAAGCTCTACACTTGCACTGGGAAGGAAGCACTTCATTATTTCCGCGAAGATTCATCTCTGTTTAACTTGTATCATGAAGGGTACAAAACACAAATGTCTAATTGGCCAGAAAAGCCAGTTGATGTTATTATCAAGTGGCTGAAAAAACAGAACCCTTCTTTTGTTGTTGCTGATTTTGGTTGCGGGGAAGCACTCATTTCCAAAAGCGTGAAGAATACCGTCTTCTCTCTAGACCTCGTCTCCAACGATCCCAATGTAATTGCTTGTGACATGGCAAATACTCCACTAGGCTCATCATCTGCTGATGTTGCTGTGTTCTGTCTCTCATTGATGGGAACCAACTATCAAACTTACCTTGAAGAAGCATACCGGGTGCTTAAGCCTGGTGGGTGGCTCTTGATTGCAGAAGTAAAGAGCAGGTTTGATCCAAACAATGGAGGAGCAGACCCTGAGAAGTTCTCAAAGGCTATTTCAGAGCTAGGATTTAGCTCTGTCAAAAGTGACTTGTCAAATAAAATGTTTATTTTGTTTTACTTCACAAAAATGGGAAAGCAAAATTCTAAGAGGAAGGAAATCGAATGGCCGTCACTTAAACCTTGCTTGTACAAGCGACGGTGAGATTATTACTGTATTATCTTAGATTTTCATACATTATTGTTATCTTAGATTATTTCTTTACATTCAAGTTTCTTCCCAAATTTATTCCTTAGAAAGCTTATAGGAATTATGAAAATTGATAAAAGAATTAGACAAACATTAGAATAAGAAGAGTAATTAGTTCAAGTCCAGTTGTTTTTCTTGTTTGAATTACTTTCATCTTCATATTGTAACTTAACTTTTCATAACCTAATCCTTTTCTCTCAGATTTTGCATGAAAGTATTGTTGATAAATCATTTAGGATCTTTCTTGAGTCTAAATCTATATGGATATTTTATATTTAGTTATCTGTTACAATTATAATATTAATTTCTATTTTATTAAATGAAATAGATTTTTCCTAAATCCATTTGGAAAATGCTTTTTCTGGAAATAAAAAAAATGTATTTCCTTGCATCTGGAGATGTCTGAGACACACTTTACATTATACCAATTTTTATAATTCAGCCATACACTCCGATTTGGCTAAAATATAGGTTGAAGGTGTATCTTAGTAAATTTTATGGGATGTATTTAAAAGTGTACACTATGGAGATACATTTATGAAAACTCCACGGAATGGTTTTAAGGTAGCAACATGTCTCAACATTGTAATTTTTTGAGGCTAAGTTATATTAAAGTAAACTTAAAATAAAATAAAGTTATTACATTAAAGTAAAATGAAAGTAAAAAGTCACAAATTAATTAAAGTAAAATCAAAATTTATGACTATACATTACTTGTTTTGAAAATATAAAAAACAATACAACCAAGCATAACCTATTAAGTATGTCTAACCCCTCTGACTTCTCTGCCTGTATTGCAAGACTTTTTGTGCCTTGACAATAATGTCATTTACGAGGGCCAGTTAAAGACTGTCTTACTCAAAAAGTCATGTCTCTATGTTTGATCTCGCCATATCCATAATACGCTGACAAACGTTGCTTACGTCCTGGGTGTGGTCATCCATATCCTTAAGTACTTACTAATTAGATGACTTCGGTGGTCTTTCAGGAGTGTCTGGTGTCATGATAAGGTGCGACATGTTATAGAACTATGCCATGTAACCGTCTGCATAAGTCTAATGTACAGGAGCTGACACCATACGATGCTCTTTTAATACCAAATGACTTCCGAAATTCTCAAGCATCACATCAAGATCTCTGCGACGAACAGTGGGAGGAGTGGACTCTGAGGGGTGTCTCAGAATAATCTACAAATATCCAAACTGGCGCATCACTTGCTCGAACAAATACAAATACATCAAATCCGACCCACATGTCAGCCATCTGGACTATAACTAAATGAGGTCCAACTGACATGTATGGCGGTGACTGCTGCATGAGTAGAAGACAATGTCAGTTGCTATATGATAGTTACGATACATCCGACAATACATAAATCGACAAGACCAAAGTAACAGACAACATTTTTGAATCAGTCAGCATTGCATTGTTCTAAATCTAATATCTTTCTTCCATGGTTTAAGAATTTTAAACATAGGCGCCTCTTGTAATTTTTTTCCACCATGAATCACAATTAAAGTACTTTAAAACAAATGTAATGTAAAGGTAAATATATATACCTCTCATTCTTATACATGCCTAGCAGTATGGTCTTCACATAGAGAGGTGTTAAATGAGCCACATGGATAACTATCTACAGGGGCATTATCAGCGAGTTCCTCATGAGCTCCAAGGGATTCATAAGCAGGGTACTTTTGGCCCCGTGAAGTAGATTCTTGAGACAGACGACTATATAAAGTGGCATTATCAGCGAGTTCCTCATGAGCTCCAAGGGATTCATAAGCAGGGTACTTTTGGCCCCGTGAAGTAGATTCTTGAGACAGACGACTATATAAAGTAGAGCCTGATGGTTGTGAAACTCAACCTTTTGAACCATCAAACGAGGTATCATCGACTCGTGATCCCGTCCCTAGCCCTTTAACGTCGTATAGACGCGTATTGGAACACATGGCCGAGTCTAATTTTGTCCTGGTTGTTTTTCATCCATTGTACCTATAATAAAACTAGAAAGTAACATCAATAACTCAACCAAAATGCAGCCAGACACAATTCTGGAGATGCATCTCTGGATGAACTTGCGATTTTTAACAATGGCAAAAACACCATTGTTGTCATAACCTTAAACCAAATGGTAATGCATGTCTCAATGAGCTATCTATTTTGATTTTATTATTATATAATGCAACTTAAACAACCTATGTTGCCTAAAACATCATTTAAAACACACAAAAAAAGAATAACATGAGAAACTTACCAAATTAGAGTTGTGGATGAGAAGATTGAATGAAGTAAATAACTTTGCAGCAAATGGAGTAGAATGGAGTGAGTGAACTTGATGAAACTTGCTCAAATCGGGTTTGGAAATGGTTTGCAGCAAAAGAGCTCAAATGGAGTTTTTTTAGCGACTTTTCTAAAAATGAATGAGGAAGAGGGAAGGGTCTGACGCGAGTTTATGAATAAAACACATCTGAATATGCATCTATGTAAAAATCCTTGAATTTTGAATTAATGGTATTTACGGAGATGCATCTCCGGACTCACCCTTTTGTTTACGAAGATACATCTCCATATTAATTTTTGGTAAAATAAAAGTGACTCATTCATTTGCGCTGGAGGGTGTGTAAAAAAAAGGTGTGTCTGGATATGTATCTCCAAATACAAGGAATATTTTTGAATTTTCACGGTGGTGAAGAATCGCCCTATATAATTTAAAGAGCAACCCTCTAGAATTTTCTGTATGGACTTTAAACTTGTATATGAGTTAAGTTATATGATAACTTTGTTTTATAGTAGGATAAGCTCTTATAGTACTAATTAAGCTACCATTCGTATAATTAATTAATAGTGACATACATTTTGTTTTTCTAACATATAATTATTTAGTTGGACAAAGAAGTGCTCGAAAATTGAGTAATACTCACATGTAATTAAACATCTATGTTTCTTTACTCTGTTCGACTATCTATCTATTTACAAGGGCGTACAAGACAAGTTACTGCACATGATTTTTTTAAACTGTTATTTGGCTAAATAAAGCTGTAAAAAGTATTGTTACGGTTAATTTGTGGTTTAAAAAATATATATTTGTTTTGTCATGGTTAAACTATGGTTTAATAGAACTTTTATTTGTTTTGTCATGGTTAAACTGTGGTTTTATAGAATCTCTATTTATTTTGTCATGGTTAAACTTCGACAAATTTATACAGAATCTCCAAAAATTTGAGACGGTTATGTGTATCTATGTATATTATATATTATGTATGTGTGTATATATGGTAACAAAATATACCTATAGTTATATATGATTGTTGAAATTTTTATTTATATTTGTATATCATGTAAACTTGATTATATAATGTATATTAGTGTATTAATAATTTACTTTTTTTTACATATATTCATTTGTTTTTATTTGAAACTTACATGCTATAAGCCCATTTCTCATTCTTGTAATAGAGGTTTTATATAATACATATTTGAGATATTTTCTTATAATAAGAAGAAATATTTCATTTCATTCCTTTTGTTTTCTTTAGATCCAATAGACCAATTTGCGATAAGTCCAAGTACTGTAATATGTTATTAGAAGTGAAACCCTAGGGTTTCTATTTCACCCTTCTGCCGCCATAACTCTTCAGTCTTCGTGCAAAAATACCATCGTCCTCTAAAACTAACAATGACAACCACAACAAACAACGATGAAACCACTGTTAAAACCATTAACATTCTTCTCAAGATCCACACATCCCATATTTCCTCCACCCGAGCAAAAACCCCGACATTTTTCTTATTGGAAATCTCCTCACCAATCAAAACTACCACAATTGGAGCAAATCAATGAAGCACACTCTCTCCTCCAAGAACAAGACCGCGTTCATCAATGACAAACTCCCCAAACCTTCTCTGTTGGATTCTAATTTCGACCTTTGAGAGAGATGAAACAACATTGTCATCTCTTGGATCACTCGCACAATTTCTCCTCTTATTTTTCAGAGCATAATCTACTTTAATTCCACCTTTGAAGTTTGGAAAGATCTTCAATATCGATTCACAAAAGGTAACTTCTTTGTGGTTTTGGATCTTCTCCTTGATATTCATTCTATTCAACAGGGTGATCACACTCTTTCAGTGCACTTTACTAAAATAAAAATCCTATGGGATAAATTGGAGGATTTTTGACCTACTCCGATTTGTCCTTGTCCAGTTCAATGCAAATGCTTCCTTTCAACTTTTGTTATGGAATTCAATAACATATAGTAGATAATTTTATTTCTCAAGGGTCTCAATGGAAATTATGCAAACGATGGTACCTAGATCCTCTCCTCTAAATTTATAAGGTTTACTCTCTCGTATCTCAAAAGGGTTACAGTCCTTCTAAGAAACCTTTGGATTCCACATCATTTTCTATCAACACCAACCCTTCCAAGTACTAATCCAATGGTATAGGCAGATGTAATTGTACCCTAATTCTATGAGCTCATTGTAATAAAATAAATCATATTGTCTACCATTTCTATTTCAAACATGGTTTCCCCCCATATATTGCCTTAAATCCCAAGTAGAAAAAACCAACTCCTCTAACTCTAGAGTTCCCTCCACGACCATCAACAATAACATTGAGAACCTTTCATCAAATGACACCAACTTTTCTCTCTATAAAGAAGAATATTAATACATGGTGAACCTTCTTAAATCATCAAGATTAGAATCATCCAACAACAACAAGCAACCTGATGCAGACATCAACAATCACGTTGTCTAAAGAATCCAAAAACCGGGCAATACCTTAACTTTACCATCTGTTTGGATTTTAGATTCAAGGGCAAGTGATTATGTTTGCCCTAATTTGCGTTCTTTCAAAATGCATTTTAAAATTAAACCTATTTATGTTTGTTTTCCAAATGGTAGCAATATGCGTGCATATTACTGTAGAACAATTCAATTTTCATATCAAC